CTGTTGCATTAGGGATTTCGGCGTTAAATTTCCAATAACTGGTATCAGAGCGTGAAACGATCTAGAGGAAGTCAGATTCAAGTGGGAGCCATGGCCGCAGATGAAGGGAAAATAAGACTTGAGAAATTTGATAGAACAGATTTTGGATTCTGGAAAATGCAGATAGAAGATTATCTGTATCAGAAAAATCTGTATCAACCACTATCGGGGAAGAAGCCGGATTCAATGAAGGAAGAAGAGTGGAACCTTCTGGATAGACAAGCCCTCGGAGTTATCAGATTGACGTTGACTCGCAATGTTGCGTTCAACATAGCGAAGGAGAAGACCACGGCAGGTCTTATGGCAGCACTCTCAAACATGTATGAGAAGCCATCAGCCGCGAACAAAGTTCATTTGATGCGGCGGTTATTCAATCTGAAAATGGCGGGAGGCGCGTCAGTAGCACAACACCTCAATGAACTTAATACGGTTACAACCCAATTGAGTTCAGTTGAGATTGAGTTTGATGATGAAGTTCGGGCGTTGATACTTTTGTCTTCCCTACCAGAGAGTTGGAACGCTACAGTCACAGCTGTGAGTAGCTCATCGGGAAGCAACAAGTTGAAGTTTGACGACGTTCGTGATTTGGTTCTCAGTGAGGAGATCCGACGGCGAGAGACTGGTGAAGCTACAACCTCTTCAGTATTGCATACAGAGTCAAGAGGTAGAAATTCAACCAGAGGAAACGGACGAGGAAAATCAAACTACAGAGGTAGATCAAAGGACAGGAGGTCCAAATCAAGGAATCCAAGCAACAGCTCGAAGGCTATCGAGTGTTGGAATTGTGGAAAGACCGGGCATTACAAGAATCAGTGCAAGAGTGCACAGAGAGATAAGGAAGCGAAGGCAGAGGTGAATGTCACCTCCACTTCAGGAGGAGACGACGTATTGATATGCTCTTTGGAGAGCAAGGAGGAATCTTGGGTGTTAGATTCAGGAGCGTCGTTCCATGCTACCTCTCAGAAAGAATTCTTCGAGAAGTATACCCCCGGAAATCTTGGATACGTTGGTGATGATAAACCATGTGCTATTGTGGGCAAAGGCGTGGTGAAAATTAAGTTGAACGGGTCTGTATGGGAGCTGAAGGATGTCAGGCATATTCCCGACCTGAGAAAGAACTTAATATCCGTAGGCCAGTTGGCTGGCGAAGGATATACCACGACCTTCCATGGAGATGATTGGAAGATCTCAAAGGGCGCAATGACGATTGCCCGAGGCAGGAAGACTGGTACCCTGTATATGACAGCAGGTGCACGTTGTTTGATCTCAGTTGCAGCAAGCAATGAGACTTCAAAGCTGTGGCACCAGAGACTCGGTCATATGAGTGAAAAGGAGATGAAGATCATGCACACAAAGGGAAAACTCCCAGGACTGCAGTCAGTGGAGATGGATATGTGTGAAGAATGTATACTTGGAAAGCAGAAGAGAGTCAGCTTTCAGACGAGTGGCAGAACCCCCAGGAAGCAGAAGTTAGAGCTCGTTCACTCAGATGTGTGGGGACCAACAACCACCGCGTCCATTGATGGGAAACACTACTTCGTGACTTTCATCGATGATCACTCTCGGAAAGTATGGGTCTACTTTCTGAAACATAAGTCAGAAGTATTTGAAGCTTTCAGGAGATGGAAAGCTATGGTCGAGAATGAGACTGGTCTGAGAATAAAGAAGCTCAGGACCGACAATGGTGGTGAATATGAAGACACCGGATTCAAGAAGTTCTGCTATGAGCACGTGATCAGAATGGAGAGAACCGTGCCCGGCACGCCTCAGCAAAATGGTGTAGCTGAGCGGATGAACCGAACGTTGACAGAGAGAGCCAGAAGTATTCGAGTACAGTCAGGCCTACCGAAGCAGTTCTGGACAGAAGCGGTCAACACAGCAGCTTACTTGATCAACCGAGGTCCATCGGTTCCATTGGAGCACAGAATACCAGAGGAGGTATGGTGCGGAAAGGAGGTAAAACTCTCACATCTTAAAGTTTTCGGTTGTGTAGCTTACGTGCACATTAGTGATCAAGGCAGGAATAAGCTTGATCCCAAGTCAAAGAAATGCACTTTCATCGGTTATGGTGAAGATGAGTTCGGCTACCGCATTTGGGACAACGAAAACAAGAAGGTGATCAGGATCAGAGATGTGATATTCAACGAGAAGGTGATGTACAAGGACATGCACAAGACTGACGACTCAGAGAGCGAGTCCACATTTATAGATGCAGATGATGTCCCGAGTAACCTCTCGGAAGAACCCAATGCAGAGGGTCCTCAGCAAGAAGAGCCTGTTGGACAAGATGGTGCGCAGGAGCCCGACGCACCAGCTCCGATATTAAGAAGATCTTCTCGTCCTCCTGTACCCAACAGGAGATACATAAACTATCTGTTGTTGACAGATGGTGGGGAGCCTGCAAGCTTTGATGAAGCTTGTCAGGGTGGAGATGCGAGCAAGTGGGAGCTTGCAATGAAAGATGAGATGAAGTCTCTCATATCAAACCAGACGTGGGAACTAGCTGAGTTGCCCACGGGTAAGAAGGCACTCCACAACAAATGGGTGTACCGGGTGAAAGAGGAGCAGGATGGTTCCAGAAGATATAAAGCCCGGCTAGTTGTCAAAGGTTTCCAGCAGAAGGAAGGAATTGACTACACCGATATTTTCGCTCCCGTGGTGAAGCTAAATACTATCAGGACCGTGATGAGTATTGTAGCAATTGAAGATCTTCATCTCGAGCAGTTAGACGTGAAGACGGCGTTTCTTCACGGAGATCTAGAAGAGGAGATATACATGCACCAGCCAGAAGGTTTCTCAGAAGAAAAGAAGAAAAAGAACCTGGTGTGCAGACTCAAGAAGAGCTTGTATGGCCTGAAACAAGCCCCAAGACAGTGGTACAAGAAGTTTGACGGCTTTATGCACAAGGAAGGTTTCCAGAAGTGCAACGCCGACCACTGTTGCTACTTCAAAAGATATCAGTCCAGCTATATCATCCTACTGCTGTATGTTGATGATATGTTGGTTGCAGGAGCAGATATGAAAGATATCAAGAGTTTGAAGCAGCAGCTGTCAAAGGAGTTTGACATGAAGGACTTGGGTCCAGCGAAGAAGATCCTTGGAATGCAAATCACGAGAGATAAGAAGAGAGGTCTCTTGCAGTTATCTCAGACGGAGTACATCAACCGTGTTTTGCAGAGATTTAACATGGGCGACGCCAAGCCTGTGAGCACACCCTTGGCCAGTCATTTTCATCTATCGAAGGATCAGTCTCCTCAGACAGAAGAAGAGAAAGAGAGTATGGCTCAGGTTCCTTACGCCTCAGCTATCGGAAGTTTGATGTACGCAATGGTCTGTACGAGACCAGACATTGGCCATGCAGTGGGAGTGGTCAGCCGGTTTATGTCGAATCCAGGAAAAGCTCATTGGGAAGCGGTCAAGTGGATTCTGAGATATCTACGAGGCACCACACAGAAGTGTTTGCACTTTGGTAAGGGAGAGGTAGAAGTGCAAGGGTACGTAGATGCAGACTTCGGCGGCGAAGTTGATCACCGAAGAAGCACCACCGGCTATGTATTCACCGTTGGAACTACAGCTGTTAGTTGGATGTCACAGGTACAAAAGATCGTTACCCTATCCACTACAGAAGCTGAGTATGTTGCAGTGACTGAAGCCAGTAAAGAGATGATATGGCTTCAGGGTTTGTTGACAGAGCTGGGATTCAAACAGGAGAAGAATGTTTTGCACAGTGATAGCCAGAGTGCGATACACTTGGCGAAGAATTCTGCATTTCATTCTAGAACGAAGCATATTGCGCTTCGGTACCACTTCATCAGATCCCTGTTGGAAGATGACGTGTTGAAACTGGAAAAGATTCCAGGAAGTAAGAATCCAGCAGATATGTTAACAAAGACGGTGACAGTTCAGAAACTGGAGTTGTGCGCAACTTCAGTTGGCCTTCATGCATAGACGATGAAGGCAGAGCCACACAGGAGAGGAGCTTGATGGGATAGCCTGTTGACGTCGGTTTGGTCTCCAAGTGGGAGATTGTTAGGTTGGAGGTGGATACCAACCTCCGACGACGGAGGAGCTCCGACGAGCTCCAGGTGAGCGCAGGCGAAGATGGAAGCAAGCTCGAGCAGATGAGCTCGATCGACGAACGCGACAGTGGTTTGGGGCGAATCCGACCCTCGCGACAGTGATGCCGACCTCCACGTTCTTATGCACCGACGATCGCGTGTTGGGCGCCCACGCTCGCGTCCGTTCGTGCGCTGGCGACAGGCTGTCGCCAGCCCATCCATCCCCCCTATAAAAACCCCCCCTTGGCCCTAGGGTTTGGGTTGCTTCTTCTCCCCTTTTTCCCTTGGCGACAGATCCCTTAACGCAGCAGCGTTTCTTCTCTTAAAATCGCAGCAGCGATTTTCCAATTTAATCCCAGCTCTTCAACAGTGGTTGTTGGCGGATTTAAGAAGAGAGAGAAAAGAGAAGAGAGAGAATCTTTTCCCATCTCTCAAAGTTTTGAGGGGGAAATTAAAGAGGGATTTATATTGTGGGTATTAACACTGTAGCTACAGTGTTTGTTTGAGGAATCTCAGTTTAGAGATTTGCTCTTGATTTGTAATTTCTTGTTAGATTAAATAAGAAATTGACTGTGTGGCTCCCGAGGATGTAGGCAGTTGCCGAACCTCGTAAATCTTGGTGTACTGTTCTTTATACTGCGTTTCTGTTGCATTAGGGATTTCGGCGTTAAATTCCCAACAACGCCATCCCCAGATTGAATCTTTGTCCAATAACAACTTGATAAAATTCAACAAATCGAGTCACTTTCAAACCAATGATCATATGTGCATCCTGTAAATATCAAGAAATGTCGCAAAACCGCACAGTGTGTAATTTATTTTCTTTATAATATTTCAAATCAGCATCTTCCCATGCTATATAAATAAGCACCCAAAGTACCTCAAATTGCATCACAACCCAGGTCTTCTCTTCCTCAAAAAACACTAAACACACACTTCAATTTTTCCTCAAGAAATGGAGAGGGTGAACAATTTAGCCTCAGAGAGTGCAGTGGTGATCTTCAGCAAGAGCTCATGTTGCATGTGCCACACAACCGAGAGGCTCTTCTCTGAGCTCGGTGTCAAAACCGTTGTCCACGAAATAGATGAGATCGCAAATGGGAAGGAGATTGAGCAGGCACTTTCTCGTCTGACTGGACGCACTACACCTGTGCCTGCTGTGTTCATCGGTGGGAGATTGATCGGGTCTACTGATAAAATTATGTCCCTTCATCTCAGTGGTAACCTGATCACACTGCTCAAAGATGCTGGAGCAATCTGGCTCTAAGTTTGTCAAAATCTGATCAAAATCCGATAACATGATATTATTAATATTATTGTTGTTGCCGTAAACCTATTTTGAGTAGTGAAGCTTTGAGAGTTGCAAGTTTACTGTATTCTATTTCTAATGAGTAATGCATAACTATAGCTTATCATATCTACATTACTCTGAAATTCAGTCTGCTTATACTGTGCGTATACTGGCGGTTAATGACTAAGAATATGAAAACATGAAGAAATACATATGGGTTCGTAATATTGTACAAAGAAATACTATGTATTTCTCTCTTGAATACCATGTGATGTTTCCAGGGACAAGAAGAAATAATTGCTCATATAATTTCTCATGCGACATAGTTTTATTTGAGTTCCTTTTTTGATAAGTTACTGGACCTAATAATTCGTCGGAAATGCTCTCGGAGAACTTTCAGATGTAGTTATCCTTGTTAAGACTGAACAATAACTTTCCTATGCTGATTTTGAGACTATGCTTGTGCAAATAATTTCAGAATTGATGTAAGATAAAAGGATCCTCATCTTATTGCTAAAGGTAACATATGTTGACACTGTTCTAATGGGTGTTTCGAGCAGCTGGTGATCCTGAATGCAGTAAAAAGTTACAAATAAGTAATTTCTTGCAATGTCACAGGATAGTTTTGTAATATCCTATTTTCCTCATGTCAAGCCCATGGCGCGTGCAAACCGTGGGACCCACCGAGAGCAACTCGATGTTGGCTTAAACTGTCAAAATGCTAGCACTAGTTGTCCTTGGACCTTGGGCTTTTCTCTATTTAAACCACTAACATTTCATCACACTAGTCCATGTAGGACTAAAGTGGGGGTGTCACAATCACCTTACCTTACAAAGACGACGTCCTCGTTGTCACAACATGACAATTGACACATCCCAGTGTCACTGCCAGACGATGTAGACTCTAAAGGTGGCTTCTACGGGCTCTCGAGGTGGCTCCCACCGTATCCACGTGGTGTAGCACTTAGCCCCGTATAGCGCTTAGCTCCACACTTTCGGCTAGCAACTGCTCTGATACCATTTTATCAAGCAATCGGCCCATGGGCCTGTTGGCACGTACAAGTCGTGGGACCCACCGAGAACAACTCGATGTTGGCTTAAATCAACCGCCAAAATACTAGCACTAGTTGTCCTTGAACCTTGAGTTTTTCTCTATTTAAACCACTAACATTTCTTCACACTAGTCCATGTGGGACTAAAGTGGGGTGTCACACCTCATGCATATAAAGAACAATTCTCCAATGCCCCTTATGTAAATCTTTTAGTGGTCATTTATGTCATCATCATTAATAAAATTTACAGGTTTGTCCAGGGACTTGCGAACAGTTCCAAGGTAAAAAAAAATCTAACTAAGCAAAAACATACAGGTTGCTAACTCATCTATGAACTTTGGTACGATCTATGTTCCGAATATAACAAAGCAAATGCCTGCAACCTGGTTTTGATCAATCATCATTTGATTGTGTCTCTCATGACATTCTGTGACAAATTTAATGTGAAAATTACTGTAAATACTTGAAAGCTAAAATACATAATACGTATATAAATACTCTCCGATAAGGCCTGACCATAACAAAGCTTAAGAAATATTATGTACGGATATGTTCTTCTCTTGATATTGTTCTAGCAACATGCATAGATGAAACCTCCGTGTGTGAAAGTGAGAGAATCAAATCTATGTTAGGATAATGACCATCCTATAAAGAAGTTATCATTCGTATCACCACATTTTGGGTATTCTAGAACTAGCACAAAGAGAAAATATACATATATTCCATATCGCAAGTCATTTCACTTATCCTTGTGCTACTCTGTGGTTTTATCTGTGTGCTTATAGTCACTGGTTAGTTTCACTTTATCTCAAGAGAAGTGATGAATCGTAAACTGAACCGTCCTTGTGCTTCTATGTTTTCGTGGCAATTACATTAGTTGACATTCTCATCCCACTCAGTTTACAGATTCTAGAAGGACTAGTGTTGTTCAGTAGCTAGGTTACTTTCTTAATCTTATTGAACAAGTCCTATACACAGACCTCTTAATTTATGTCAGTTTATTTCTGGCCGTCAATAATTTTAGATGTATATATTTGATTTCTACTTAAGTTTAAACAGGTTTATTTGTCATTAGTATGTCTCAACATAAGTTAAAAGTTCAGGTGATGTCGGTAGATTTTAGCTTTCAGTATAGATAATGTACAAATATTTGGATATAAATAGAACTAAAAATAGTTATAAACTTCATGCACATACTGATTTGATAATAAAATACTTACAGCATGATTTTTCCTTAACATGGTTATGAAATACCAACAAGTGATTAAAGCAACAAGTGATTTTTCCTTAACATGGTTATGAAATACCAACAAGTGATTAAAGCAACAAGTGATTTTTCCTTAACATGGTTATGAAATAGCCAATCAATAGAACTACATAACGAGGTAGATAAAGGTTATGAAATACCAACAAGTGATTAAAGCAAGGAAAATCATACATCAACATTTTGAAGAATTATCTAGTCGGAAGTTGTATATTTAAGATACAAGTTTCAATTAGGCTAGAAAAATATGTCTAGCTAGAATCTCCATAAACCACTCAAAGAGATTATTAATAAGTCCTTGTGAAAATGAATTCCTACAATATTTCGTTTAATAATTTCATGAAGAGCCTATGGTATAGTTGAATTTTCATAATTAATCGACCATATTCATATGTAGTCTTTGTTGTTGATTTCAGCAGTGAGACCAAAAACAATAGATATGTGAAAGAAGCAGCGGGTGCATTTTAATGGCCTTCTTCATATGTACGATGCTCTTGGAATGATGCAAATCTCAACTTTATCATTGCTCATTTAAGGAAATACAACACACCATTCTCATTGATCCGATAAAAACTTTTAAAAAGTTTTGAAAAGGGCATTTCAGGTATATCACAACATATTTGCAGAAAAAATCTCCAACTTTCTATTCATTTCCCATTCAAACATGGGCTACATTGACCTTTTCCTGGCTATATAAACCACTGATCCAATAATATCAAACTCAAAATTTAAGAAGACATCCATCGCCAAATAAACTTCTTAAACAATGGAGAGAGTGATGAGCTTGGCCTCAAAACATGCAGTTGTGATCTTCAGCAAAACCTCATGCTGCATGTGTCACACTGTTCAAAGTCTATTCTATGATCTTGGTGTTAACATTGTCATCCATGAGCTTGATCAAGAGCCAAGAGGGAGAGATATAGAGGGAGCTCTAGTTCAGCTTTTGGGCCCCAACACAGCAATCCCAACAGTGTTCATCGGAGGGATGCTGATCGGATCCACTGAAAGGATCATGTCACTTCACCTTGGAGGAGATCTCATCCCTTTGCTTCGCAGTGCAGGGGCTATCTGGCTCTAATTATCAGTCTGCATCCCGATACGACGACAGAAATTGAATAAATGTTTCCTTAAATCCTGTGGTAATCATGATTTTGCCATATTACATGTAACGGAAGTAATGTATCTGTAACGGGAAGTATACATAAGATGAGATAATATGTACTTCCTTTTTTCTTATTTTTGATGAAAATAATTATGAGAAACAAAATTTTATAAATTGAATCGACACATGATGGCGAACTCCTAAGATGCACAACATGTTATTGTTTGATCACTTTGTATTTAAAAGGAGACAGCTGTGTATTTTAGAGGAAAATATTATCCCCTACCTAAGTCAATTCTAGTGCCCACTGTATACGTAAAGGTTGTTCTTTATATCTGAGTATGACGACCGTCATTTTTTCCATCACCACATTTTCTCAGGATTGAAGCTTTTGTCTAATAATAATCAAGATAAAGAGGGAGGGGGGAAATCAACTCACTTTCAAATCCATGATCAGATGAGCATTCTCTTTATATATTTTCTGATGTCCAAAAATTCCTGAAACTAATAGTTTGTAAACAATATTTTCAGATATAATTGCTCATAGCTGGTTTGAACAATAACACACTTCATAGACTTTCAAAAGCCTGTACTTTAAATTTAGACTATATACGAAATAATGTCTGAACAGACAGGTCAAGAAAATCATCATTCTATTGACATGTAAACATAGATATGCAGACACAGGTCAAATTGGTCATTTGAACGGCTGTTCATCTTGCATGCAGTAAAAAGTACAGGTATGTAAATTTCAGTTCCAATGTTAATGCTGCAGTTTATTTGAATGCTTATGTGTGCTTTGCTTCCAAACATAACAAACAAAATATTTGTAATCTGATTTGATCGATCAGCCATATTTGATTGTATATATACATTCTTGCGATCACACGTTTAATGCAAAAACATCTGTTTCTTGGTACAACCATTTGGCATAGAACTTGCTACTCTTACAACTCTAACTCTAGTGTTTAGGAATTCACATGTGAAATATTGCATATAAACGAAAACCAGGGTGAACAATAGTAACATTATCCTGACATATCAAGTAGGGATCTCATCCTTGAATTTGAATCACCCAGTAATGGAAGATCTTGTTCGTTATCAGCTCACTGAATCTAAGCTTGAGAAATATCATGTACACCTAATGCACATGAAGCGTATAAACTATTTACATGATTTCATAGATATTCATATGTCAAGGTCACTGTTAGCCTCTCTGCATGGGATGTCGCTTTCATGCATGCATGACAGTGAGGGAATCATATCTATATTCATAAAATGATAATCCTATAAAGACTTATCATTGGTATTTCCACATTTCGGGATCCTAGAGCACAAAAGAGAACACAGATATATGTTCCATTCGCGTCTCGTGTCTCTTCTCCTCGTGCAACTTTTGGTGCTATGTTGAAGCTAGCTAAAAACCAGAACTCTCAGGCTTTATCCATGTGCTTATGGTTACTAATTAATTCACTTTATCTTAAGAAAAGTAAATTACTATAAAATGAACCGTCCTTGTGCTTCTATTTTTTTGTGGGCTATTTCAATACTTGACATTCCTAGCCAGTGTCTAGATTCTTTAAGTACTAGTTCAGTAGCTAGTTTGCTTTATGAATCTTATATTGAACAAGTTTATTTGGAGACATCTTTAAGAAAATGTTGCTATATTTTGGACCTTTAATATTAATTTCATCTTTCACAAAGGAGGGAAGTACTTTAATTTGTAATAGGTATATTGCTCTCATGTTCCAAATATGTTCAAAAGTACAGATAATATAACCCAATTCCTTTAACATAGTTAATGTACAGATAGTTGAATATCAATAGAACTATTTAAAAAGATAGATAAAGGTCATATATGCACGTTATCGTTTTACCAATAAACGATTAAAGCAGAGAAAATCATATAGCAATATCTTGGAGTTTATCTGGCGGGAAATTATATGAGTAGTACATGTTCTGATAAGGATGGAAATATATGTCTAGGCTAGGAAAAATGCAGAACTTCCATAAACCAATGCAATACAATCAAAGAGATATGCCCTTGTAAAATTAACTTCCGAGAATCTTTTAGTCAGTGGTTTGTTTTCATGAGGATGAGGAGCCTTTTGTATTATCGTAATTATCCACAATGAAGAAAGTCATAATCCTTGTTTATTGAATGCAGGAGTGATGCTGAAAACAGGAAACATGTACGGATACACGAATGTGCATTTCGTTGCTTTTTCATCCGTACAATATTCTTCAAGTGATGTGACTTGGAATACAAATCCCAACTTTATCATTGCCCATTTAAGGAATAAAGCACACCATTTTCTAGCTCCAATCAAAACTTTAAAAAGTTTCGAGAGGGCATTTCGGGTATATCACAACACATTCCTGAAAAATCTATATCTTTAAACCAGTGACCCAATAATATAAAATCAAGATTCAAGAAGGCACGCTTAGTTAAATAACTTCATAAGTTACGGAGAGAGTGATGAGGTTGGCCTCAAAACATGCAGTAGTGATCTTCAGCAAAAGCTCATGTTGCATGTGTCACACTATTAAAAGTCTATTTCATGATCTTAGAGTTAACATTGTAATCCATGAGCTTGATCAAGAGCCAAAAGTGAGAGATATAGAGAGAGCTCTAGTTCAGTTTATGGGTCCCGACATGGCCATCCCTTCAGTGTTCATAGGAGGGACGTTGATCGGGTCAACTGATAGGATCATGTCGCTTCATCTTGATGGATATCTCATACCTTTGCTTCGCAGTGCAGGGGCTATCTGGCTCTAATTTATCAGTCTGCATTCTGATCAGGGCCGGCCCCGAGGTTTGGGTTGCCCTAACCCAATCCAATTTTGGTTGTCCCTTATATTAAAAATTTGGTACAAATAATAACGATAAAAATGAATACATATAATACTATTTAGCGTTCTATATTGGGCTCAAACTGATAATATTCTCTTGCAAAATCAATATTCATATAAGAAAAAATTACATTTGTGCTACAATTTAATTCAAAGAAAAACACTTCTCCCTGAATTTTTTGAAGCGAATTCTTCAATTAAGTCATCATACTCGAGTTTCTAGAAGTATTCATTTTCAATTGATATCATTACCAATCCATTCAATCAATCATGTGACATGGTAGTGCGATGATAACATATATGAAATCACAACAATCAACTAAACTGATACCGGAACGAAGACTTAGCAATATCATTATTATTAAAACAATCAAACAATTAATCTAGATAGCAATCCAATAATATGAATGTCATCAAATCAAAGTTAAATTGAGATTATAATTAAAACCAAATAGAAATATATCAGATTATCATCCATTAGGATTTTCGAGTTTTAGATGACTAGAAGGGAGATGAACTTTTTAACAAGTAAACATTATTTCCTCTTTCTATCTTTTAACTTTGATAAGCTTCTTTTAAACTTATGGAGACCGTGAGAAACTAGTCAGAAGGCATAACTATGTCATCTAAATAGCTAAATCAAATCTAATTTCCAGTTTCAAAACAAAAAACTAGACGAAACCACCCAAACATCATAACCCTTAATTCAATAACTAATATTCAGCCAAGATTCAAAATCAAAAATCTTAATTTCATTGCAAAACATCAAAACTCCAAATTTTTGTCCAAAAAACCCCTAAAATTATTTATTTAAAAAATTACCTAATTGTGTTTCTTTGATGGACTAATCGGCCGTCTGGGTCGATAAGTCGATTCAGATTCTCTCCGTCTTTTGGGTGACTGGATTGGACTGTCAGAGGAGGAGTCAGCAGGGTGGTCCGAAGGATGGGAGCAGAGACGGGAAGGAGGAGTTGGAGGCTGACGAAACAAAGACGGCGGAACAGAGCGGTGTCTCCGTCGATTCAGATTCTCTCCATTTTTTTTTCTTTTTTTGTGAGCGGCGGAACAGAGACGAGAAGGAGGAGAGGAGGCTGATGGAAATAAAGGAGGAGTTGGGTAGGGCCTTGGGTATTAATAAGAGTTTTTTACAAATAGAACCCCTAATAATTTTTACATAAAAGTCCTCTTACAAAGTCCACTTCGAAAATTATTACGGTTTAAGGGGTGAATGATGTAATTACGATGGTTGCCCCCCAGCCCTGGGTTGCCCCAGCCCCGGGGCTCGAGGGCTTACCCTAGGGCCGGCTCTGATTCTGATATGATGATAGAAATTAAAAAAATGTTTCCTTAAATCCTATAAGCATAATCGAATACCTCCAGAAGCCCTACTATTCATCTTCTTCAAATCTTGTCCTCCATATCAGCGGGTTTCTCTTGTAACTCAGGAGTCTCCTCCAAATTCTGTGCATCCAACCCGTCACCTGACACATTCACAAACTGAAATTGATCTTGTGATCGAACTTCTGAATATCAATCTTCGTGTTATTGATGCTCAGACTCTGTATCATCTTTGTAAGAGACGAACCTGATGTGCTTGCTTCTCACATGTTATCGATCTAACTCTTCAAATAGGAATTCTTCACCGAATCCTTCGAACAAGCCTCAAGCCAAACCTGAGACTCTGATACCACTTGTTGTGCGCGGTGAAAGCTCGAAACCACACGAACAAGAACGAGATAAATCATAACTAATAAGCCAAACACAATACCACAGCAAGACAAACGAATTTTACGTGATTTTACAAGTTGTCTACGTTCACGGGGCAAGGAGGGGGAGTTCTTACTATTAGAAATCAAGAGAATACAAATAGGGTTACAAATCTCACCAAATAAACCCTAAAATAAAGCCTCTAGATCTCTTACAACTCTCCCACAATTGGATGCAGCAATCCCCTCTCAAAGACTGCTCAAAACGTCCTTGCTTAATCCTAATTAATTAGGATTAGGATTATATATCAACTCAGAACGAAACGGGTTAAAAAACTAAACTCAACTACAGATCCGACTCGCGGTCGACCGCAGAACCACGCGCGGTCGACCGGATCCAACGACCGACTAAAAACCCCTACAGGGTTTGGCCGGTTTACCGCAGAACCCATCGTGGTCGACCGTGAAAAGTTTAAAGACTTTTCTCAGTCATGTGCACGTTTGTGGTCGACCGCCGTGTCATCCGCAGTCGACTGCGAAACTGCCAGAATGTCTCCTGTTGTTTTTCCTGCGGTCTTCGTCGCTGTGCTCGCCATTTCTTCAAGAGTTAGATTAGATGACTAGTTTTAGATTAAAACTAGGGTGCGGTCTTATAAGTCTACTTAATCGGGTTTTTTATTCAGGAGAGCTCTGTTATAGTGAGGAAGTTCCATCTCGCAAGAAGGAAAAGTGGATGTAGGATCGAATCACTACGAAATCTTATATGTTTGTAGTTAGTTGTTTTTTGTTTTTTTGGTATTGTTGCTCATTATCTATTTATCGTTCTTTTTATGCTGCATAATCTGTGATAAAGTGAAAAATTGTAGGCAATCCTATTCATCTCACTCTAGGCTTACATCTCAAATCCAACAATAATGACGTATAAAGTAGGGACCTCGTCCGTAAATCTGCACCCAGCAATGAAAGGCCTTGTTCATTAACAGCTCACTAAATCTAAGCTTGAGAAATACCATCTACGCATAATGCGCGCACATTAAGCACGTAAACTTTTTCTTCATGGTTTCTCGATATCCATACGTCAATGTTGCTGTTAGCCTCACTGCTTGGGATGCCACTTCCCACCCACGGTTGTGAGGGAATCAAATCTGTGTTCAGGCAATCATAATCCTATAAAGACATGTCATTCGTATCGCCGCATTTGGGCATTCTAGAGCGTGAAAGATTACAAGGATACATTCGATCCGTGCATCCGTGAAAGATAACCAGCACTCTCAGGCTTTATCTATGTGCTTATGATTGCTAGCTAATTCACTCTATTTTAAGGAAATTAAGTAACATGCTATTACAATAGTTGACATTCCCATCCCACTCAGTATACAGCTGCTAATTTGCTTTAAGAATCTTATAAAAAAAATGTCCTCCTATGGAGACATCTTTAAGAAAATGTTCGGATTGCTAATATTAATTTTATCTTTCACAAAGTAAGGAGGGAAGCGATTTAGTTTGAAATAGGTATATTTCTCATCAATCGCGTCTCAAGATATGTGTAAAGTTCAGATAATATTACCAAGTTCCCTTAATTAACATAGTTGGTGTACAAATAGTTGAATATCAATAGAACTATTTAAAGAGATAGATAAAATTTCATGCACAATGAAAGAAATCATATAACAATTCCTTGGAGTATATCTGGTGAGAAATTATAAGGGAATATATGTCTAGGCTTGGGAAAGTGCAGATTTTCCAGAGACCAATATTGCGATACAATCAAAGCGATCAATATGTCCTTGTAAAATTGAATTCCGAGAGTCTTTTAGTCAGTGGTTTGTTTTCATGAGGATGAGGAGCCTTTTTTTATTATCATAATTATCCACAATGAAAGAAAGTCATAATCCTTGTTTATTGAATGCAGCAGTGAGGCTGAAAACAGGAAACATGCACAGATACATGAATGTGCATTTCATTACTTTTTCATCCGTACAATATCCTTCAAGCCATGTGAGTTGGAATACAAATCTAAACTTTATCATTGCCCATTTAAGGAATAAAGCACACCATTCTCTAGCTCCAATCAAAACTTTTAAAAAGTTCCGGGAGGGCATTTCGGGTATATCACAACACATTCCTGAAAAATCTATACTTTTCCCTATCCATCTCCAATTCAAACATAGCCTTTCCCTCGGCTATATAAACCAGTGATCCAATAATATAAAATCAAGATTCAATAAGACACGCTTAGTTAAATAACTTCATAAGCTATGGAGAGAGTGATGAGCTTGGCCTCAAAGCATGCAGTAGTGATCTTCAGCAAAAGCTCATGTTGCATGTGTCACGCTATTAAAAGTCTATTTCATGATCTTGGTGTTAACATTGTAATTTATGAGCTTGATCAAGAGCCAAAAGGGAGAGATATAGAGAGAGCACTGGTTCAGTTTGTGGGCCCCAACACGGCCATCCCTTCAGTGTTCATAGGAGGGACGTTGATCGGGTCAACTGATAGGATCATGTCGCTTCATCTTGATGGAGATCTCATCCCTTTCCTCCGCAATGCAGGGGCTATCTGGCTCTAATTAACGGTCTATGATGATAGAAATTAAATAAATGTTTCTTCAAATCCTATAGCAATCATGTTTTCGCAATATTACATGTAATGGAAGTAATACATCTGTAACGGTAAGTAATCCATAGCATGAGATAATATGTACTTTGTTTTTTCCGATTTTTTATGAAAATAATTATGAGAAACAAAATTTTATGAACTGAATGGTCACACCCTTTCTTTTCTAAGTTCACTTGAGCATACTAGAGGCTACTTAGATCATAAGATAAAATCTTAAACTGGATGCTAGATAAA